GAGGGTCCTCTTTATCCAGGCGCTCTTATCTCGCCTCAAGGTATCGTGAATGAGTTTGTGGATGTTCAGGGCAACCATGCAGAGGTCGCTCGTGAAGTGGCCCGCGATGCTATCACACTCTTGAAGAATCAGGACGGCTTGCTACCTCTGTCTTCCAACGGTACCCTGAAGATCTTTGGCACAGACGCGGAGAAGAACCCCGACGGGATAAACTCGTGCGCGGACCAAGGATGCAACAAAGGCACACTAGGAATGGGATGGGGATCTGGCTCAGCGAGATACCCCTACATGAACAGCCCGATCGACGGCTTCAAGACCCGTGGCGCCAACTATCAGTTCTTCAATACGGATTCCTTCCCAGGAAACTCGAACCCATCGCCGAGCGACACTGCCGTCGTCTTTGTGACTGCAGACTCTGGCGAAAACTATATCACTGTTGAGAACAACCCAGGAGATCGGACTTCTTCGAACCTTAACCTATGGCACAATGGCGATAAGCTTATCAGGGACGTAGCAGCCAAGTACTCCAACGTTGTGGTTGTGGTACATACCGTCGGTCCCATTCTCATGGATCAATGGCACGATCTACCTTCGGTCAAAGCCGTCCTCTTCGCCCATCTGCCTGGCCAAGAAGCAGGAGACTCACTGATGCAGGTTCTCTACGGCGATGTGTCTCCATCAGGCCATCTGCCGTACACTCTCCCCAACTCCGAAGATGATTACCCCCAGTCTTTGAGCCTTGTCGGATATCAGATTGGGCAACCACAGGATACCTTTACCGAGGGTCTCTACATCGACTACCGTCACTTCCACAAGGCCAATATCACACCTCGGTACGCCTTCGGTCACGGACTCAGCTACACGTCGTTCTCATTCGCCAACGCGACCATTACTCCAGTAACTCGGCTTACAGCCGCGCCGCCAGCTCGTCCCGCGAAGGGCGAGACACCCACCTACTCAACCGCCATGCCTCCGGCTTCCGAGGCGTACTGGCCAGAGAACTTCAACCGCATCTGGCGCTACCTCTACTCGTGGCTCGACAAGAACGATGCCGATGCCGCAGCCAAGATTGGCAACTCGACTTCGACATACCCATACCCCACGGGTTACTCAAACGAGCAGAAACCTGGTCTACCAGCTGGTGGCGCACAAGGAGGAAACCCCGCTCTATTCGACACGGCATACGACATCACCGTCATCGTCACCAACACGGGAAGCCGCGCGGGCAAGGCCGTCGCACAACTGTACATCCAGTTCCCCAACGAGAGCACAGTCGACACACCCGTCATTCAGCTTCGTGACTTTGAAAAGACGAGGGAACTGGAGGCCGGGGCTAGCCAGACGCTTAGTCTGAGGGTCACAAGAAAGGATCTTAGTGTGTGGGATGTAGTGTCGCAGAACTGGGTGATTCCTGCTGTTGGCGGTGATTATGGAGTCTGGATTGGTGCTGCGTCGGATGATTTGCATCTGAGGTGTGGGACGGCGAGTGGAAGCTGTGAGGGTGATTTGGACAGTCCTGTGTAAACTGCGTTTAATGTTCTGAATTCGATACCCATTCGATCCTGCTTTACCAACATGTCCGGCTGTTCAAGCGCTGCTCTATGCGTCACGTGTGTTTAGGTGCGGGCTCGACGAGGATTGAGAAGGAGGATCATCGCTGATTGGCCACAGCCAGGAAATTACGAGGGAATTGCGCCCGTATGCGACATGATTGGCGTGGCACTGACATTTCATCCGTGGCATTCGCGTGCAGCTGCCAATGGCATCGGAGCCTTTTTCTTTTTCTCTCGTGGTGCCGACGGAGATAGTCGTTGTCGGCTGCCAGACGATGCGGCATTTGCAATGAGCGGTGTGTGCAGTGAAGGGAGGACGGGCAGATGTGCAGCGAGAGGCTTCCAGGGGCTGAGGATTGAATGCGGAGTCGAAATGAAAGATTATACAATGCATGTGCAGTGCGCACTGTTGTGCTGTGCTGGGCGAGGGCGAGGCCAGACGTCACTGGAGCTATGATGCTTTGGGCAGTTGTCTTGGTTACTCGGGAGCACCAGCGACTCCTTCCTGCTCGACCGACGTCCCCAGGGGTTCTCCATTGTCACCGCCCTTGTTCCTGAACGCGAGTTGATTAGCATTGTCCATTGTTGTAAGTTGCAGCCTCCCTGTGCAACGCCCGAGAACCCTGTCGCGCCGCCGTCACTGCGTGTACATAAACAAATTGGCCGGGTTTCAGGCGCGGCCACGGCCATCTCCCACGTATCCTATAACCCTCTGCTCCCACGCCCGCCGCCCCAGCACCACTGACGCTCGCCTCGTCCCCCTGCAGCCATGTCCAACGGCGTGCGCAACCTCCGCGCCATGTTCGAGAACGGCAACGCCGCTGCCTCGCCTGAGCCCCGCGGCCGCTCCCCGACAGACACGGCAGCCGCGACCGACGGCGGCGAAGAGCGTCCCAAGTCCAAGGTGCGCGCCTCGTTTGTCTCGGTCGAGCCCACGCCCGCCCACGCCTCGACCGACCTCGGCCAGACCAAGGGCACGCCCTCCAACAGCGTCAACGCGACCCGCCGCGAGAGCTTCCGCGTGAGCCACGACAGGACCGACGAGCTGGCCGAGCTCAAGAAGGTCGTCAGCGAGGAGAAGGAGCAGCGCCGCCAGAGCATCGCCATCCCCGAGGCCGTGCCCGAGCAGGCCGTCGCGTCGCGCGAGTCCTCCATGCCCGCGCCGCCCATCCGCGACGACACACCCACCAACATGCCCAACCTGGGCTCCATCATGAAGGGCTCCGACTTCCCGGAGTCTGCCGCCGCCGACGTCGCTGTGCCGGCTCCGGAGCTGGAAGAAGTGCCAGTCGACGAGACACCAGCCGAGTCCACCGAGAGCGCTGTCGAGACCGCGCCAGTCCCCGCGCCAGAAGCAGCACCTGCCCAGCCTGCCGAGAACCCGGACAAGGCTACTACAGGCGCGCAGGAGGATGTCGCCCTGAGACCTGCCGCGCCCACCGAGGAGGCTGTCGTGGACGAAGACAAGCCTGCTCTGCCGGACGCTGCCGTCGATGACGACGCCGTTGTTGCTGAGGAGAACGCCATCGCAGAGGAGGCCGCTGTCGTCGAGGAAGCTGCCATTGCAGAGGAAGCCGAAGCTGTGCAAGCTGAAGCTGCTGCCACCGAGGAGCCCTCTGCCCCGGCCCCAGCCGCTGCTCAGCCCGCCGAGAATACAGACAAGGCAGTGACGGGTGCTCAAGAGGAGCTCGCTCTACGACCTGCTGCGCCTGCCGACGAAGCCGCTGTTCCCGATGCGACCGCTCCTGCGCCGGCTGAAGCAGTAATGGCCCCGAGCACCGAACCTGCTTCAGAAGCAGCCACACCTGTTGTAACCAAGGCCAAGGCCAATGGAACTCCTGGGCTCAAGAAGCCCGAGATCAGGAAGCCCGCTGCCATCTCGACTGCCAAACCTGCCAAGGCTCCCGCCGCCCCTGCCAAAAGCCCGCTACCTAAAGCAGCACCCAAGACCCCTACGAAACCCAAGACGGCCGCACCCACCATCAAGCCTAGTCCAGCTGCAAAGACCACAAAGCCCGCAGCCCCCAAGGAGCCTGTCAAGGCCCCCGTTGCCAAGGCCCCCGCAGCAAAGGTTCCAGCCGCAAAGGTTCCAACTGCTAAGACCAGCCGCACCTCTCTGCGACCTGCAACATCTGCGTCCTCAGCGACGGCACCCACTGCTGCCGCTGCCTCCAAGACCAAGCCTGCGGCCGCACCTGTGGAGAACAAGAAGCCTGCCATTCCCAAGCCCGCCACTTCCGCCCCCCGCAAAAGGTATGACAGAGCCACGTGGGACAATGCGCCAATGCTAACAACGCTACAGCACGTCCCCAACAGGCTTTAAGAAGCCAACCCCAAAGTCTCCTACTCGTCCAGTCGGTTTACCAACCCGTCTGACTGCGCCGACGGCTGCCTCGGCTGCCAAACATGGCGAGGAGCCCAAGGTCACACGCAAGCCCTCCACCAACACCCGTCCTACACCCAAGGCCCCGGCACCAAAGACTTCGCGCCCTTCCATCGCACCCCCTGCGCCCAAACGACCTGAATCGCGCACCTCAACCGCAAGTGCTGCTCCTAAAGGAGGCTTCCTCGAGCGCATGATGCGACCCACGGCCGCCAGCTCCAGCAAGACACACGATAAGCCCCATGAAAAGCCGTCATCACCACCGCGTAAGGCTCCTGCCGCTTCCAAGATCGGCACTCTACAAAAGGGGAAGAAGAAGGCGGAAGAGGTCGTGTCCAAGGCCAGAGCAGTGGTTACGAACGGAAATTCTGAGGAGCACAAGGATGGAGATGAGCCCGCAAAGGAATCTGAACATGGCGATCGGACAACCGAGGAGCCTATCGCCAATGAGCCAACACACGAATCGCACAAACCAGCCACTCCAGTTCAAGAGGTAGACTCGTCAGTTGCAGAACTCCAGACACCCAACTTCCCAGAGGAGACGGTCCGGTAGACGAGGGCCATTATGCCTCTGACCTAGGCGTATACATTTCTCAAATCGTATGTATTCCTGCAACACTTGGTCAAGTCTTAGGTTGCCGTACCATGCCATCTTGCACAACTATGGGCGATGTTATGTGCGCGGAGCTGTATGGCTCCCATCTTCTCTCACTTCTCAACAGCATTTTCTGGAGCGATTGTTTGGCGTAACTGATATTTGGGCGGATACCTAAGGACATGGAGCGGAGGTGGGTTTGGATAGGACTATTGCGTGCATAGTTGTTCTTTAGCGATAGGCTTCGCAGAATCTGGCAGACATCACTATTAGATTACAATCCCATTCTTCACTCCAAGATGGCTTTCTGTCTACTTGTCCACTCGTGCAATGCCTATGGTAGGGTGGGCGGGCACACGTCGACACGTGACTGGCACCTCCGCCGAAACTCCGATGGCCCAACTTTTTCCTGGCGGGCAATTCGACATTGCGAAGCGACAGCAGACCCCGCGTCGCCCCTTTGTTCAAGATGAGGGTTCAGTCTCTTTTCCGGGCGCAAGCACTTGCCACGAGCAGTCTTCGCTCTTCAGCACGCTCGGTTGCGACGCCTTCACGATGCGCTCTTTCGACCATTGCGGCAACGCGCACGCCCTATACCAACGGCACCAAGACAGACACATGGATAGGGGCCCACACCACGAAGCCACAACGAAGATGGCAGTCTGCGGCTGCGCAAGTGTATGTGCTGCCATGTTTGTTCTGTGACGGCCAGAGAGCAATGGAAGGCTGATTGAACGTCATAGGCTGGAGCAAGCAAAGGAAGACCCCTCTACCTTGACGCAAGAGAAAATCGTCGAGAACCTAGACCCTGTCGAATGGGAGCGACTATCGCGAGTGCGAAACATCGGCATCGCAGCACACATCGACTCCGGCAAGACCACCGCCACCGAACGCGTCCTCTTCTACACCGGCCGAATCAACGCCATACACGAGGTACGCGGCAAAGATGCTGTGGGTGCCAAGATGGACTCTATGGATCTCGAGCGTGAGAAGGGCATCACTATCCAGTCTGCTGCGACCTTCTGTGACTGGATCAAGAAGGACGATGAAGGAAAGGACCAGAAATACCACATCAACTTGATTGACACTCCAGGCCACATCGACTTTACAATCGAGGTAGAGAGAGCACTGCGAGTCCTTGATGGAGCCGTCATGATCCTGTGTGCTGTCAGCGGAGTGCAAAGTCAGACCATCACAGTCGACAGGCAGATGAGGCGGTACAACATTCCAAGGATTTCCTTTGTGAACAAGATGGATCGTATGGGAGCCAACCCGTGGAAGGCTGTCGAACAGATCAACCAGAAGCTTCGCATACCGGCTGCGGCTCTCCAAGTACCCATCGGCCGCGAGGATGGCTTTTTGGGTGTTGTGGATCTGGTCAGGATGAAGGCGATTTACAACGAAGGACCCAAGGGCGAGACCATTAGGGAGACCGACGAGATACCTGCGGATATTATTGAGCTCTGCAAGGAGAAGAGGCAGAAGCTCATCGAAACACTTGCAGATGTCGACGATGAGATCGCAGAGCTTTTCTTGGACGAGCAGGAACCGACAATTCACCAGATCAAGGCTGCGATTCGACGAGCCACCATCTCCCTCAAGTTCACCCCGGTTATGATGGGCTCCGCGCTTGCAGACAAATCCGTGCAACCAATGCTCGACGCTGTTTGCGACTACCTACCAAACCCCTCCGAAGTCGAGAACATGGCACTGGACAAGAAGCGAGCAGAGGCACCGGTCAAGCTGGTATCATACAACTCTTTGCCATTTGTCGGTCTGGCTTTCAAGCTAGAAGAAAGTAGTTTTGGACAATTGACATACATCCGTGTGTACCAGGGTACGCTCAGAAAGGGAATGAATGTATTCAACGCGAGGTCAGACAAGAAGGTCAGGATACCGAAGATTGTGCGCATGCACTCCAACGACATGGAGGAAATCCAGGAAATTGGTGCTGGAGAAATCTGTGCCGTGTTCGGTGTTGACTGCGCGTCTGGAGATACCTTCACTGACGGTAATCTTGGATACACCATGGTAAGACTTTAAGACTATTGTTATCATATCTTCAAGCTGACACGATAGACCTCCATGTTCGTACCCGAACCCGTCATCTCCCTATCAATCAAGCCCAAGCACACCAAAGATACACCCAACTTTAGCAAAGCCATGAGCCGCTTCACGCGCGAAGACCCTACATTCCGAGTCCATACCGACCCCGAATCGCAAGAGACCATCATCTCCGGTATGGGAGAACTACATCTGGACATCTATGTCGAGCGCATGCGCCGCGAATACCGCGTCGAGTGCGAAACCGGACAACCACAAGTCGCCTACCGCGAGACAATGACCAAGCGCGTCAACTTCGACCACACGCTCAAGAAGCAGAGTGGTGGGTCAGGAGATTACGCGCGAGTAGTCGGCTGGATGGAGCCAAGCGAAGCTGCTGGTGAGAACAAGTTCGAGCAACAGATTTCCGGAGGCACCATCTCCGAGAAGTTCCTCTTCGCCTGTGAAAAGGGCTTCATGGCCTCCACGGCCAAGGGCCCGCTTCTCGGCCATAAGGTTTTGGGTACTTCCATGATCATCAACGACGGAGCTACCCACGCTGTCGATTCCTCGGAAATGGCCTTCAAAATGGCCACCCAGCAAGCTTTCCGCAAAGCTTTCCAGGCCGGTGCGCCTCAGGTACTTGAGCCGCTTATGAAGACGACCATCACGGCGCCGAATGAGTTCCAGGGTTCTGTTGTTGGTCTTCTGAATAAGCGCAATGCTGTTATCAACGATACGGAGATTGGTCCGGAGGACTTTACTGTCTATGCGGATTGCAGTTTGAACAGCATGTTTGGCTTTAGCAGCCAGTTGCGTGCTAGTACGCAGGGTAAGGGGGAGTTTAGCATGGAGTTTAGCCATTACAGTCCCGCGCCGCCGCAGCTGCAGAAGGAGCTTGTGGCAAAGTACGAGAAGGAACAGCAGGCTAGGAATGCGTAAGATTAGCCTCCTAAGCTCAATCGGAGTTGAAACAGGATAGGGACCGTGGAAAAGCTCGGTGTTGGTACAACGAGCTCCCTGGATGATTCGAGTGCTGATGACATACATCGATTTATCTACATTGGCGGACGTCTGGCGTATTCTTGTGGGATTGGTAGAAAGGTGTAGAAGTATTGTACATGTAATGTTGTAAACAACACCGCCATATGACGACGAATGATATCCCCTCAACAGCTCCATCCAGCTCCATCCAGCTGCTTCTCCGTCTTCTTCTTCAATTCAACAAACCCAGGTAGAACCAATGTAACTTACCCCTTCCTCCAAAACCTACTCAACGTCCAACCCCGGCCTCATCGTCTTCCTCACAAACGCCCTCCTAATCGCAAGACTAACCTGCGTCCACCCCACCACTTCATTATGCCCTCCATACCTCACAACCTCCAACTCCACCATCCTATCTCCCTTGTCGTCCTCGACCTTCTTATACGCAAAAGCACCCCTCTTGACCCTATTCGCCCCTTGAATCGTTCTCCTCTCCTCCTCCGCCACAACCCCTTCTTCCGTCAACATTTGCGTAGCCAGTGGCTGGAACAACGCTTCAGATTCCCAGTACGTGATATCCTGGTCGTTTCGTGCGTGCAGGAGAGTAATGTGGAAACCGGACTTGTTGGCTGAGGCGGTGGAGATGAGGGCGCGTAGGCGGGTGAGGGTGGGCCAGTGGTCGACGATGCGAGTGGATAGATAGTTTGCTATCCTGGGGTAGCCTTGCAGTGGTTTTAGGATGGGGAGAACGCCGCCGATTTTGTAGGTCTTGAGGAGTTGGGGGAGCGAGGTGAAGGGGGCTACTAGGACGATGCCGGCGAAACCTTCAAAGTTACGGGATGGTTTGAATGTTACAGATGGGGATGTAATGGCCAATGGGAGGTGCTCGGAGGTGGAATTGGTGAAGTAGAGCGCGCTGGCGGCTGTTACGGCGGTGCCGAGGCTCTGGCCCAGGAGAACGGTGCGTGTGCTTGAATGAGAGAGGTCCGAGGTGATGTATGAAATCAGGCTTAAGGCGTCGGCTATTAGACCGCTTTCAGTGGGGATATGCGGGGAGTGTGTGAGCGTGGAGAGACCGAAGCCCCGGTAGTCGCAGGTTACGAGGTGAGTTTTTGGGATGCCAGAGACGGAGCGGTAGGTTGAGGGGCGGTAACCTTGGGCTATGTGGCCAGCGTTCTGTTTGGGTGGATTAGAATGAGTGATAGATAAGCTGGAAATATTAAAAGGGGTTAACGGTGGATGAAGTGACGGAAGAATGAGAGAGAAACCATGTAAAACTAAGAAAGAAGAGTCGATATAGTCTGAGATGAGAGTTTGAGATGTGATAAGACCAAAGACTCTGGAAAGAAAGGGACAGCATGCCAAACCAAAAGTCAAGAATCGAAAGAAAGCACAACCTACACCATGAAAGTTGACCACAACCCTACTTTCCGGGTCGCTGCTCAACAGCTTCTCTCCTATCGTTCCCTTCAACTCCTCTGCAACTTCCCCCGAAACAGCAGCAGTAAAAAGCTCATGTTCATTCTCCAGATAAACATCTAGAGGAAGTACATGCCAGCAAAAGAGCTTCTCTTGATCCGCTGTAGTAAGCCAAAAGGGTTGTACTTGCCCCTCTACACATGGGTACTTAGTACAGCGATAGAACAAATCGAGGAAGAGTTACAGATGCACTTACTCGCAAAGCCGAATTCTTCGGGATTCGTCACGTTGTGGTAGAACCCCGTGTGAAATTTATGGGCATAGAGAGCGCTGAGAAGACATTAGAATCGACTCCAAACGTCATCTCATCTGTCATGATGAGAGCAAAACGTACTGCCTTTGTACCGTGGGATTGACCAATAGGCCCACAAACGCGGCCCAGACAATGCCTAGAATGGCAAATGTCCAGTACGCTTTTGTAAAGATGGCTTTGAGGTTGGGCATGATTTCAGTCACAGGACGTGGTCTTGCGCTGCCTAGATACTTTATACTGTCGGGAATGTCGACGCAGAGAAAGTACTGCGACCGTAGCACTGGACTCAGGTAAAGCAAAAAGGATTATGGTGACGTTGCGGAAATGGAACGCGCGAGGGCACAGATGCATGGAGATAGGCAACTGCGGGTGATCTAACCGGGATAAGCAGGCCGCAGCGAAGATCTTGGCATCGGAGTTGAGCGATGGCAGCTCCAGATCTCATGTGTAACGAAGAGCATGCTTCAGACAATACCGCCTCACGTATCTCGCAACCGTATATCAATGACACGCGATACCGGAGCAGAATGTGTGTAGTTTGACGCTAAGAAATGGGTATCATTTGTACTCATACACACCGCAAGACTATTCCAAGATTTCCACAATATCGGCACACGATCAGACGATCTCATACAAGACTCTTCTTAGGCCGTCCAGCTTTCTTCTTTTCTGCCATACTACTGGCAGACCCACCCATCCCTCCCATGGCGACGTCCTGAGTCGGCGTTGCAACCGCAGGCGTCACGTCGCCGCTCCTAATCCTCTTCTCTGGCAACTCATCGCCGTCTTTGGGCAGTCTGAAGGCTAGATATGTCTCCTCTGCCCTTTTGCACTTATCAAACACCTCGTTCATGTATTTCTCCACGACATGCGGTGGTCGTATCGAGCGCGGCAAGGCGCTTGCGATTTCGTCGCCTTCATCGTGCTCGATTAGTAGAAGGACAGTAACTGGCTGGTAGAATTCAATGTTGTCTATCTCATTCATCTCGTCGAAATCTTCGATTCGCTGGGGCGGTTTAGGCGGCACGAAGGTTGCCGAGGGGGCTGATGCGGCAGGTTGTGTGGACGCAAAAGCAGGGTTTGTGGGGCTGGGTGTTGGTATGATGGCGTTCGGTGGGGGTGCGTCAGGCATAGCATTAGTCGCAGTACCGAGAGTCGGAATCGGCGTCGGCATTAAGTTTTGAGCAGAGGCAGACGGAGGTTTGACGACTGGATCCGGCCTTGGCTTCATCTTGGTGATGAGAAAGGACAGCTTTGCGCCTGTGCCATTGGGAAGCCATTCCATGAAACTATACGAAGGGAAGTAAAACTTGTCTTCGCTGCCATGGACAAAACTGAAGACCAACGGGCGATATGTCGTCCTCGGGGGTGGGTTGTAGGTCGATAGCTGCGGCGGCGGGTGGTATTGCGGCGGTTTGCTGAAGTTGTTCGGATAGGGTGGATATGGCTGTTGTGTAGGCGAGGGTTGCTGCGTCTGTCCCTGTGGCGGGACCGGACTGTACGGCTTGGGCGTGCTGGGCTGCAGAGGCTGCTGGACTGGCTGGACTGGGCGGGGAAGCGGAGGAGGAGCTGTGTGTTTCGGTGCTGGAGGCGGCGGCGGCGGCGTAGGTTTGGGGGGTTGCGTTGGCGGAGTTGGTTTGGGCGCTTTTTCCTCCTTCTGCCTGGCCAGAATCGCCGTCAATTCGTTGATGTGTGTCTGGAAGAACTCGAGCTGCTCCTTGCTTGCCGAGCCAGCGGCGACTATCTTCATGACAGCCTTCAGCTCGGGATCTGTTCCTGCTCTCGCGGCGAGCATGTGTATGACGGGATCGGGGGCGGGGGCTGCGGGGGCCTGAGGCGGAGGCGCGGCCTGGACAGGTTTGGGGGGCTGGGGTGGGCGTGGCTGGGGCTTCTGCTGTATGGGCTGGCCACCCTGGTATTTGGTGTGTTGGTTGGGCTGGCTGTGGTTTGGCCAGGGAGCATAGGGCGATGGCGCGGGAGGCTTTTTCTGTGCTGGTCTGCCCACCTCGCGCGGGCCGTAGAGGCGGATAGGCAGCGTGTGCGGCTCTATGACGAGCTTCACGCTCACCCGGTCGGCACCGACCTGGGGGAAGTTCTTGAGCAGCTCCTTCTGTCTCGCCGTCTTGGCCTTGTCCTCGTCGGTGCGGTCGGCCAGCTTCTTGGGCTGGTTGAAGTGGGCATGGAAGGTGCGGAAGTTGGCGCCAGACAGCCAGACAGCCTTGGAGCGCTCGAAGGACGTCTCGAGGACGCGGCTCTGCTGGATCGTCTGCCATTCGCTCGATGGAAGGTGGAGGGGCTGTGGCTCGCGCAGTGTGGGCAGCGGCGCGCCGTCGACCAGCTGGAGGGGCAGCGTCTGTCGCGGGGGCAGCGGCGCGCCCTCAGCAACGGGCGTCGAGGGCGGCGCGTCTTTGACGGCGAGGCTGGTCCGCTTGCGCTTCAGGGCGGCTTTGGCGGCTTTGGCGGGCTTGTCGTTGGGCGTGTCGGGGGCAGCCGGGGCGGCGTCTTCGCGGGCGCGCGCCCTCGTCGACCGTCGGGGCTCAGACATGTCGTGTGCGGGTCGGGGTCGGGGTCGTGGCCATGGCCATGGTGTCGTGCACAAGGCTGTTGCTGTTGCTGCTGAGTTGCCCTGACGCGCTCCCGTGCAGCGGCGCGCTAGCCTCCGGCACTCCAGGGCTGCCTCACGCTCGCTGACGGCATGCGCTGCTACTTCGGCCTTGGCTGCAGGCTGCGAGATAAGCCCGAGCCTCTGTCCACAGCCCGGGTCGATATCCTTGCCTTCATGCAGCCTGACTCCGCTGACTCCGCTGCCTCCGCTCGCCTCACGCTTCAGTCCAGAGCCATGTCATGTTGCAAGAAAGCAGACGAGCACGGGAGTTGGTGGTGGAATCAATCAAATTGTGCCTTCTACTATCTAGTCGCACTAACCAAAAGAGAAAAGGAATGTGCCCTCAAACTGGAGAATGGTCCTGCTTCGCGTTTTCCCCTTTCTTTCAATCTGTTCTTCAATCGAGTGCTTCCCGCTCAACGCAGTCCAACCCAACATGCTGCAGTAGCGACGCGAAAGCTCGCGCATTAAGCCTTCGCAGCATCCTTCCAGCGGGGCTTCAGCACAACTCTCCACTTGCCATCATGGAACTGCATCGTGATGAATTGCCGGAGTTGGATCTGCTGGTATCCAGCCTCCTCGAGAGCAAAGCGAGAAAGAAGATTGGCCGAGACTGTGCGC